GTTATAAATATTTTTTTTTTAAATGTGTATTTAAATAATTAATAGAACATCACATTGAGCCCACTTGAGTTAGAGGTAGTGGCACACAAGTGACATGGAGTATAAACCAAGCAATACAAATACAACAAATTTAGATACATTTAGAAACAAATAAGTTATACAGAGGCAAGCTAAAGGACCACTCAGGGAACCCAGACCCCTTCACCTCAGTGAGTCAGCAGGCATGAGGTGGAGTGGGTGACAGCAGTGGAAGTGTTTCAAAGCTGGAAATAAGGGATTTAATCTTCACTATCTTTCATCAAAGGGGATGAACAGTGGTCACGCTGATTAGAGGGAATTTATAATCCCAAAGAATTATTGTTATTTTCAGGACTATGGGCTCCCTTTACGTAGAGAAGCAGTGTATCTACAACAAAATGTAAATAGCAGTTTGCATCAATAAAAATAAATCTCAAGACACTTCGCATTCCTCGTATAACCATATATTACCAATGTGGAGCCACCATCATTTTGGTGGACACAAAGGAACTAAAGTCAAAATTAAAAAAATTTACGTCTTGTTTGTAGTTGCACTGTCTTTCTTCTTACTTTGTTTTTTGTATATTTTATTTGGATTTAAATCTATCAGGATCAATTGTTGTTGTATTGTTTGTAATCATTGTCACTTTTTTACATGTACCACGAAGTCAAGTGGGGATCACAGGATGTTCTAGTAAATGTTTTGTATTGTAACCATGCATGATTAATGCTATTTAAGCCAAAATGTCAAACTTTTTCATGGAGTTGACCCCCCAAAACACATATATCAGCATACCTTGAATATAACTAGGAAGGATGAAAGAATGACAAATATGAATTCCTATAAAAAAAAAAAAGACAAGTATGAAATAGGTTAAACAAACTGTGGTAGTTCAATTAAAACCAAATCTAACTTTCCCAGTGATGCCACTCAGTTCATGAAACTGTCACTGACTGAAATCTTTCCAGTTACTATTCTGTCTGAGTAGATCTCAGAAAAATTCTGAGATAATATTATCTACAGCTGTTGCGGAAGCCAGTAGAATTATTGTAACCACATTGGGGAGGAGTAAATGGTCTAATTAGGCAATGGATGTGTAGATACAGGCATATGGTTCTTGCTGTAGGGTCAGTATAAAAGATAAAAATGTATTACAGTGTTATATAAATGATGTGGCATCATAGTGTTTTCCATATTGTGTCTTCATATTTGAATACAGCAGCAGATAATTTGCAAATATAGCAGTGTATTTTAGCTTATTTTGTCAGATTCTGCCTGTCACAATATGTTCTAAAATTGATATTTTTGCTTGCAATAATTATCTCATTACAGAAAATATGCATACATTGGTAGAAGTTTGTCAAGTGGTGAATAAAAACAATTCTCCTTCTATAAACTGCAGTGAATAAATAGCATTTACATTAAATGCTAATATTTACCCTGCATTTTTTTTTGACTAATGCAAAGTTAGTTACTATTGGCCAGGGCTTACTAAAATGGAATCCAATGCCCTATCTACCTGTCCTGAGTTGCCTTCTGGGATGCAGTACATAGAGGAGTGAGTGCGGCATCAGCTGAGAGAAGAGGAACGGTGTGGAGAGGACTTAAAGGAAGCATGACAGAACCGAAGTCAACAAAATGTTTTTAACATGGAACAGCAATTCAAAAAAGAGAGGACAGTATTGGATGATTTAAAATAAAGGTTTGTCAAGTGGTGAAAAAAACTATTATCCATCTATAAACTGCAGTTTATACCTTTAAACAGGCTGCTGTGAATACATTACATTTACATTAAATGCTTATAACTACCTTGCATATTTTTTGACTAATGCAAAGTAGTTACTATTGACCAGGGCTTACCAAAATTGAATCCAATGCCCTATCTACCTGTCCTGAATTGCCTTCTGCTGAAAACCTTAAGAAGAGGTTAAATATTCTTGGTACTGGAGTTAGGTCTCTATGTAAAACTTCTGTTATAGGAGATGCTAAATGATACTTCTCAGATTTTAAGGTCTTCACTCGGCCAATTGTAGTATGGGCGGGATTCCATCTGTTTTGTGCCGTCTAGTCATGGTCCAAAACTGGACTGCAGTAATTCCAGATAAAAGATACAAGGACAAACTTGAAATCAAGTTTCTGGATCTTTGTTGATATCTATAAGATTATAAAGGCTTAGATCCTGTCAAGGTACAACCCTACCCCTCAAGCTAGAGGCAATTAATAAAATTATATAGAACGTATTACTGGTCGTTAGAGTTGCCAGTCTTAACGTAAAGAATATAGTGCTAATATAAAATAAGGGTAACTGGAGACAGGCCAAGGTCAACAATAAGAGAATGAAGATTAAACAAGCACACAAAGTCAAGGTCAGGGATTCCAGAGATAAGAGTAGTCAGAAAACAGAGCCAACAAACTGAATACAGGACGCCGAAATTATATTATATCAGGAAAGGATTTAAATAGGCCTAAGTATGTGGGAATTGGTTGAAGAACTTCCGGGATAATCAGCAACAATTATAAAGATATGTGTTTAGCCCACTAGTACTTTGGGCTACTGTTGCTTTAATATAGGGTGGAACCAAGTGATCCATGGCATTGCACATGTTTCCTAGTGTGAATGCACGTCCGCCAGGTGGGAAACAGCCATATGCTGGGATGCAGGATCCAGAGGAGTAGGCACGGCATTGGCTGAGAGAAGAGAAGCGTTGTGGTGAGGGCTGAAAGGAAACATACAAGAACCCAAGTCAACAAAAAATATAAACATGGAACAGCAATTCAAAAAAGAGTGGAAAATATTGGCTGATTTGAATTGTTTTATGTAATTTGTACACTTTATTCCAATAACCCAGTTGAACAAGTCAATTTTGACTCTTCTCTAAATATACATAGAGTCGATCTAGAGAAACCATTGCAATTTTCAAATAGTATAATAGGCATTTTACTCTCAAGTGTCTGCTTTTATTGTGTAGCTCGGTCTGTATTTATGAGTATAACTCAGATAAGGCTGGTTCATAGGAGCAGGATCCCCTTTCCCCCCATTTTTGATGACATTGTAAAGGCTACTGAGAAGTAGAGATGTCGCCGGGATGTGTCAGCTGACCGGAGTTCGCCGCGAACAGCTCGTGGCGAACCGCGGCGAACCGTTCGCGAGAAGTTCGCGGACGGTTCGCGACATCTCTACTGAGAAGTGTGTATTAGAAAAAAACATGATGACTGAAGATACACCTGGTTTTGAACCGAACATGTCATGGTATCTCATGAGGTTAGGTGGATAGAGTCAATCAAGTTGGGTGGGGAAGCACCCTGCCATCTTTAATCTTCACTAGCCACCACTGGTATGAGTTAATTCATTATCCCTCTGCGGTGGGTTACTTGCTCATTAAAAGTGTGGAGTGAAGTTAGAATTAGTGATGTTAGAATGGAAGATGTCCCAATCACCCATGCTAAGCTAATCAGACTTCTGTTAAGAGTCCCATACTGAACTCTATATATGGTATAGCTACATTTATTTTTAGTTTGTTTATCTTGATTTGAAAGTATTACTGCTAGCTTTTATAATATACTGTGCCTGCCTCTGTTGAAAATCTCTCAGCATCATGTTTTGTTTCCTTTGGGTTTAAGAGTTGTTTTGGCTGCAATCATAGACAGACAAAATGTCTAAATGTTTACAGCTGGTATCCTGTTTCCTGCTTGTACACAAACCTTCCCTCTGCTCTGAAAGGTTGCAGAGGTCTTTAATGCAGGTTTAGTCTTGATTTATGCAAGATGAGAGTCAGCTCACCAAGTCATTTGAAAATACCAGCAAAAAAATTACAATGAAACATAATACTGGTCAAGCACTTTTTCAGTAATTCTCATGTACCAGAAGGTAACAAACAACCTAGTTGGTAATTCCCCTCCAATAACATACACAGGTGTACAATAAAAAAAAGAAAAAAAAAGGCATTGTGCCAAAAATAACAATTAAAAGAAACGAGATGAAAAACTTTGATATTTGATCATCCAAAAAAAGATTATGGTGTAACATTGTAAATATAATATAATATTAGTAATCACTCTGAATATGTATTCATCCTTAATAATGTCACACTGTACTCTAAAATGATGGCTCGAGTGCTGAAACACTTGCCTCGGATGCTTGTTGATGTGCACTGTCACAGGGATGTGATATTCCACAAGGATGTATGAAAACATAGGTAGACATTGAGTGACAGAGCATGTGCAGAACAAATAGCTCTATGAACATATGTATATTCACTCATGTAGATTAGACCTCAAACCCCCCGGATTATAATGCTGTAAGAGAAACAATCATGGCTACAGAATATTATAGACAGGTGTAACGGAGCTCCCCGTACTCCGTCCGTTGATGGACGCTTCCTAGCTTGTGCCGAGGACCACGAGCACCACACCAGATACCACAACCACTGCAGACTCCGCAACCGCCGTAGCTTGACTGGAGTTTTGCCATCTTCCTTCCACCTTGGATCAGCTTCTGTCCTCCAGGACCGTGTGGGAAAGACCTCTTCCTTCCACCCTGTATGAACCTCCGGCATCCAGGACTGTGTGGGGAAAACCTCTCCTCCAAGGAGAGCGTAACAGGAACAGCTCTTAAAAGAGCTAAGTGATTAAAGCTCAAGGGAGTATGCTAAGCATAGCAATCCCCAGTGTGAGTATAGCTGTCCCCTCCAATCACGAGACAACTTACCAAAGATAAAACAGAGGAGGCCATTTAAACACTCCAATAGTTTAGGCAAGGCACAAATATCCCAAATAAAATAAGTGTATTTATTTAACAAATAAAACGCTGTTAAAAGCACTCCCAGTGGCTTTATTAAAGTATAAACACTAATTTGGATATTGTTTCTTAAATACCCAGGGTAGATTTAAATGCTGACTTATGCAAATAGGCAAAATTAAAGAAAAACTCCAAGCTATGGCAATATACCTCAATACTGAATGCACCTGTCATAGGTGACTATTTTTATTACCTGTTGTGTGTTAAATTTATGTATGTGTGTAAGTATATATATATATATATATATATATATACTTACACACATACATAAATTTAACACACAACAGGTAATAAAAAATATATACAATATACAAACAATATATATATATATATATATATATATATATATATATATATATATATTGTTTGTATATTGTATATATTTTTTTTAAATATTGTATCCTATTATAACAATGCAATGTTTTGTGGACTCAGGACATACTGGAAAACGAGAGAAATCTTAATGTACCCTTTCTGGTAAACTATTTTATAAATAAAAATAAAATAATAACCACTACAACTTGCTGTAGTGGTTATGGTGACAGGAGTTCCCTGGAACCCCTCCCACTGTAAGGTGAGGCTTAAAACCATCTTAGGAGGCCTAGCATATTATTATTATTATTATTATTATTATTATTATTATTTATATTATTCATAAAGCGCCAGCAAGTTCTGTAGTGCTGTACAATGGTCTGAGAGCATTGCAGTGCATAGGTCAAGAGTGCTAACAGTAGAAGTTCCAGTTGAGAAACTCCTGGTTCTCAAAAGATTGTAATCGAGGTGGAGAGCAGCGGTCAGTAGACCCCAGCTAAGAAGAACAGAGAATAGAGTCAGTGCTAATATATCAAAGAAAAAAAAAGGGCAGCAATCCCAAACAAGGACTCCCTCACGTGTCCTTGAAGTAAATGGAAAATGCAAACAAACAAAGGGATGGGACTGCACCAATAAACAAGGTAAATTAATTAAAGTCCTGGTAGGGGTAGTAATAATACAACAAAGTCCAGTATAGTGGAACTTGGATCCTAGGTTGGTCTCTGGAGTTGTAGGGTTCTGCTCCTTGCAGGTTGAGAAGGGTGATGATACAGGGTGATCCAAGAGATAATATAAATAGAAGAGATCTTACTCACTTTTTGTAGAGCTTAATCCAGCTCTGGTGTGAATTGCTTGCAGCGCTATGATAACCGCTTGTAGGATATGCGGTGAGTGTCCTCTTCAGTGCAGTAACAGGCAGCCAGTAGGGAGATAAAACGAAAACAATAATGGTGCAGTATATTCCAAAAAATTGGATAAGAAATATTAGAATATAGTAGAACCACTCACATTTGATAGAGCTTCTACTAGCTCTAGTGTAGTAGGCATACAGCGGTATGATCCCCGCCTCTGGGATATATGGTGAGCGTTCTTTGAGATGGTAACAGGAGCTCGGAAAGAAGATAATAAAACAGCAATAGTGCTCTCAGTAAAATATGTGTGGTATTTAAAATATAATAAAATATACTCACAATCTATACTCACAATCTAATCTCACAATAGGGCAGGCTAACTGCTCTATGACACGGGCACGGGTGGTATAATCCCCACCTAAGGATTCTTTGGAGTATAAGGAAAAGTAAAATGAGATAAGAAGCCAGGTAGTAGTAAAAAAAAAAAAAAAAAAAATATGTAAATAAAAGATTATGGTGCAAAAGAGTAAAAAGAACAAAATCTATTTATTAACAATAATTAAAAAGCAATACAATATCCAAACGCGTTTCACCAATATAGGCTTTATCAATGGATTAAAAAACTTTCAACCTGGCTAGTTGGGGTACATATAGGCATAGCATAGAACAAATTTGAAAATGGTGCCAAAACTGCTCTGACCAATTACAGAGCAGATTGTTATTGCACATAAATAACAGTTGTATATCTATAAAATTCCATAAGTATGGTGTGTATGGTGTGAAATATATAATTATATAAAAAATTCCATAAGTATGGTGTGAAATATATACAACTGTTATTTATGTGCAATAACAATCTGCTCTGTAATTGACAGTTTTGGCACCATTTTCAAATTTGTTCTGTGCCTTTATGTACCCCAACTAGCCAGGTTGAAAGTTTTTTAATCCATTGATAAAGCCTATATTGGTGAAACGCGTTTGGATATTGTATTGCTTTTAAATTATTGTTAATGAATAGATTTTGGTCTTTTTACTCTTTCGCACCATTATCTAAGAAGACAAGACTTTCAAAAACAGTTTGACAATGGGAAGGTACCAAGGCATCCACACCATAACCAGTACAGCAAGTGGTTATGTTAATAAAGACAGAATGTGTACAGGAAGACAGCAAGTATACTTTGTAATGCACAATGCTGTAAGGGAGCTACTGTTCAATCACTTCTTTCTACTGGAAGTGGAAGATATTGTAGAAATGTTTATTATATTTAGAATAGATTCGTTCTTGTAGAAGAACTATACAGGCAGTTATTCCTTCTATAAGTTAAGTATTAATCATGTATAATCTGGGTGTCTATAAATCCACATATACACACACATTAGCTCAGTAGCCAAGTTAGCCCATGCATTCTGAGATTGTCATCAAATAAGTAAATACAGATAAATAGTCACGGTTGCAATTATAGATCAGCATTGTGTGATTAGCATTGCTTACATTTACAGTCTTATTCACTAAAATGAGGATTCAAAATAAATTTCAAATTTAAGGCCAAAATAGCTGACATGGCAGCGTGGCCAACTTCAAGAATTTTTCACAGGAAACATCAAGGACTATGATTTTCGATACATACAAACTTTGCGAGTCAAATCAAACACGTCACGAAAAGGTAATAAAATTACAGTATGGAACCCAGGTACCTCAATTGTATCTTGTCTGTCTAAACATTTTAATTGAACTAGATCACAGAGCTTCAGAGTGGAGCTTTTAACGTAAAGAGGAGACAGGAGCTCACATTCGAGGTATGACAGTGTAATAGCATGCTTCTTCATATACACATTCACTATCATACACATTCACCAATATTTTTATTTTAAACATATTACACATACGTGTCACTGTGTCAGTGAGTGCAGGGGTAGTGACTCTGGGATTGACTGAGTGTGAGTGAGGTCTCCGTGAGTTATGCAGAGTTGATAAGATGGCAGCAGAGACTGTAGTAATGGAGCAAGGAGAAATATATGGATACCGGAAGTTTTTCATAATAAATAAAAAAAATCAGGCCCAGGAAGGCCAGTAGTTGGCTGATATGCCTCAGCTGTTTTCTGGTTTCTGAGAGAATAAGAGGATGTAAAAACTGCAACAAAGCAGGGACATTCGGTGATAATTATCTGTATTATCTATATCATCAATGAAAGCAATAAGTGTCTGATTGAACATGGGGGTAGCTACTGCATGTAACTGTGACTGCTGGCTGTTTGGTTTTGTGTATATATTAGGGAGGAGGGACTGCCAGTCTTGTTTGCCTTAGTATTCCATGATAAATCACAGATGTAGCCTAGCAGGATGTGGTACATATATCTGTTATCCTTATACACATCTGTATCTGGAACTTGTGAAGTCTGCAGATATTCTCTCATCATGGGTCACTGCAAATATAAAGATCTGCATTATCTGCTTCCTCAGACCTTCTGTTTCATTTCTAGCCACGAGAGCTGAAATACATCTTTATTTAAAATTCAGTGTACTTACTAAGTTGTCTATGATGTAAACATAATTTAGTCTAGGGAAAAAAAAAGCTGACCTCACTAAGCACAACTTTAGCAGCTACCAAGTTGTTGAAATAAAATAAATTTTCCTAGACAGGTACGGTGTGCAAAGTACAATAAATGTTACTTATGTTCTTGTTTCCATGTGTATAAAGCACTTATAAATAAGGGGCTCATATGGTGCAGCCTGTACCAAGGCAGTTTAGGAAACGATAAATAGTATAGATTATCCAGTTATCGTAATATAAATATAGCTCATGTACAAAATGTGCAAGTTATATAAAGTGGGAGAGAAAATAAACAATGTGGTATTAAAGTCAACATTAAAGGCACATTACAGCATTAGGAATGGCACACTACATAATTAGGAATACAGGGTTGTATTCCTAAGGGTTTAGTGTCCTTGTGCCTATGTAAAAACACTCCTCATTACAAATTACTGGATTTTTTTAAAATCACACTTCTACATTTTTGGATATTAATCTAGTACCTTGGATTGAGACATTAGCACAAATGCTTGAAATTCTTAGCAAAGTGTTTCTATTTCATTAAAGGACCACTAAAAGGCCAATTGGGTGGATGTGCAGACACTTAAGCAGTTAGTAGAAGACCATAGCGCTAGGAATACACATTATTATGTTAATGCTGTTCCTTTAATCACTTACCATGTTGACTTTAATTCTACATACAGTAATGCTTATCATCTGTACTTCTATTATAATGACTGTTATCATTAATAATCTATAAAGCAACAAACAGACAAATAGCTTAATCGTGACCAAAAGCAGCACTAAAATGTAGCATCGCCTTTCTTTGTGAATACTGTGTAAAGTTCATTGTTGCTAAATGTCACTCAGCAGAAGATAGTCAAATGATCACGACGTGCTAAGCACCATAACAGCTTATTCTCATTGGGTTACGGTCCAATTAAGTCTCCAGTCATTGTGTCCATGCATACAATGGATTATACAGTAACTACAGTCATTTGCAAAATTTACTGCAACTATAAGGATAGTTCTTTTATTTCAGTTGACAAAGGAGGAAGACCAAAATGTATCCAAGATGTGCATGCACCAAAAGTATTTTATTTTATTACACACACATACACATATACATACACATACATATACATATACATTCATTATTTGTATAAAGAATTAAACATGAGAGCTATTTCCCTTTTAAATCTTAAAATCTTATTTTTTCTGTAAATAAGACAAACACTGTGCTCTTTAGAAATGTTTCTTTGTGGATCTTTTTTGTTGTTGTTGTTGTTGTTATTTCTTTTTCTTCTTTTCATTATTAGCCCTTATGTATTTAAGTATAAAAATATTTCTCTGAATTGTTTTCAAAAGTAAAATAGCCTGCAAACATGGAACCCTAACAGCTTGACTCGGTACATTCATTTCATCTCCACTTAGGTGGGTATTTGCTGATGATACGCCTGTTTGCTAGCTCCCAGCGGGATGTCTGTGTGAGCTTCAGTTTACATTTTACTGGTATTGTTACTGCCAACAATGAAGGTGTGATCACAATTATCCAAACTGTGCTATCAAATACATTTCCTGAAACTCTTCTTTGGTTTCAGTG